CAAGAGGGCTGCCGTGAAGAAGATACGGGAGGGGGAGAGCATGTGAGTCCTGTAGGTGGGAGGGGTTTGCACACAGACACGCCCACATGTAGCACTACCATGATTGAAAGGGGGCGGGGCCAGGGATACTGGGAAAGGGCTACATGATGTTCCTTCAACCAGAAAACGAGGGGGAAAGGTTTCGATTGGTGCCTGTGTCCCCTTTTGGGGAGATTTCCCCCTTATTTCCTGTGTGGTCACCGGGACAGGAAGTGAGAGGAAATCTCTCTCAGTGGTGATCCAGGTCAGAGGCCCGATACAGAGCCGGCTGCCATATGCAAATCTCGACATCCCCCTAAGTTGAGTTTGGCAACGCAGGGCCGGACTGAGGAGTAGGCAGAAGAGGTGGTCACAGGAGGGGGGAGAGGTTATGATGGGAGGTGGTCACAGGAAGGGGGAGAGCTTATGACGGGAGGTGGTCACAGGAAGGGGGAGAGGTTATGACGGGAGGTGGTCACGGGAAGGGGAAGAGGTTATGATGGGAGGTGGTCACAGGAAGGGGGAGTGGTTATGACGGGAGGTGGTCACTAGGGGGGGGGGGTACTTTGGCATGCCTTGGGTACTAATGGCGCTTGTCCCAGCACACTGGCCACCCCCTTAATATAATGCAGATCCAGATGCCGGGCGGCTGGAGAGACGGCAGAAAGAGAGAGATAAAGAGACCCCAGAACCGAGTGCGCAGCCAAATACCCCAGAGTGTTGTCACCTTGCCCCTCGAAGCCATGGAGATGCTGGATACAGCCACAAGCAGTACCACTGGTAACCAGCAGGTGGCAGCAGATGCTTTGTATCATCCATGAGATACATGGTATCCTTTCCTCTCCTCCCATTGGTCCTCACGGTCAGGGACGGGTTACATTGGTTGTATCGGAGTGGAGAAAATGCTGCTCCCGGCTCGCCGCGGTGGTGCCTGCAGGTCTGAAGGTAAGGTACGTGGCCATGGGATATCGTTACGGAAGAGGAGGGTTAGAGTTCTCTGCGGCTGATCTGCCCTCACAACCTAAAGCACCGGAGGGAGCCCGGTGCAGCATTTTCTCCAGGAAAGGTAAGTAGCCCCGCCCCTTCTGGTGCTCATCCACCCAAGCAGTACGGTTAGCATAGCTGTAAAGGGCAACTCCAGGCTCCAGCTCCCTTGATGGGGGATATTTGTCTGTATACGCCCCTTTTCCAGGTCACATGATGTGCAGGGTCCTCTCCAGTGATTGGCGGTCCTCAGTGCTGTGGGCGGGGTCATGCGTCGCACTCACAGTATGCCCTCAGTATGAGCATCATTCAGCCTGGTAGACTGAGGACCTCTTGTGGTGGCTTAGAGGTACTACAGGGGGGCACAGACTTTATTTAATATAATCATTGTGTTATATACTATAATGCTGATCTCCTGCGACCTGCCTGCGGCCACTTCCTGGCTACATTGTATATCTTAGGGGAGGTTTTCTGATGGTGACAACAGCGGGTCATGTCTGCTTAATGTGTGTTGAAATAAAAGCCCATGTGACAGGGTGACAATGACAGGGGCACAGTTGGGAGATGGGGATAGAGCGTTGTCACCTTGTAACAGGAAGTGGCTGAAGGAGGCGGGATCACTGGGGATCACTGTAATGAAAGCTGCGGATTTAAAGTGACAGAACACGGAAATGACATGGATGAGATTTTGGTGATCGGGTTTCTTTTCTTTCCTCCCCCCAGAGGTGCCGCAGAGGAAGACGCAGTGTCGGTGGTTGGCTACCAGAACCCTTCCTTCAGCCGGTCTCGGGAGGGCTCCCCGCAGACGCAGCAACGCTCATTACTCGGACCCGTCCCTTTAACGGTGACCCCCCGCGCGTCGGCCCTGCGGGATCGGGAGGACGAGATATTTAAGTTATGACCTTCACTCCCTTTTATATTTTATATCGGACACTTTTCTAAATGGTTTTCAAGTGATCCTGTTGTAGTGTAATGACAGACTGAACCCCTCCCATGTGACCCCTCCCCTCCCATGTGACCCCTCCCCTCCCATGTGACCCCTCCCCTCCCATGTGACCCCTCCCTCCCCACCATGTGACCTATTCCAATCATGTGACCCTCTCCCCTCCCATGTGACCCCTCCCTCCCCACCATGTGACCTATTCCAATCATGTGACCCTCTCCCCTCCCATGTGACCCCTCCCTCCCCACCATGTGACCTATTCCAATCATGTGACCCTCTCCCCTCCCATGTGACCCCTCCCTCCCCACCATGTGACCTATTCCAATCATGTGACCCTCTCCCCTCCCATGTGACCCCTCCCTCCCCACCATGTGACCTATTCCAATCATGTGACCCTCTCCCCTCCCATGTGACCCCTCCCTCCCCACCATGTGACCTATTCCAATCATGTGACCCTCTCCCCTCCCATGTGACCCCTCCCTCCCCACCATGTGACCTATTCCAATCATGTGACCCTCTCCCCTCCCATGTGACCCCTCCCTCCCCACCATGTGACCTATTCCAATCATGTGACCCTCTCCCCTCCCATGTGACCCCTCCCTCCCCACCATGTGACCTATTCCAATCATGTGACCCTCTCCCCTCCCATGTGACCCCTCCCTCCCCACCATGTGACCTATTCCAATCATGTGACCCTCTCCCCTCCCATGTGACCCCTCCCTCCCCACCATGTGACCTATTCCAATCATGTGACCCTCTCCCCTCCCATGTGACCCCTCCCTCCCCACCATGTGACCTATTCCAATCATGTGACCCTCTCCCCTCCCATGTGACCCCTCCCTCCCCACCATGTGACCTATTCCAATCATGTGACCCTCTCCCCTCCCATGTGACCCCTCCCTCCCCACCATGTGACCTATTCCAATCATGTGACCCTCTCCCCTCCCATGTGACCCCTCCCTCCCCACCATGTGACCTATTCCAATCATGTGACCCTCTCCCCTCCCATGTGACCCCTCCCTCCCCACCATGTGACCTATTCCAATCATGTGACCCTCTCCCCTCCCATGTGACCCCTCCCTCCCCACCATGTGACCTATTCCAATCATGTGACCCTCTCCCCTCCCATGTGACCCCTCCCTCCCCACCATGTGACCTATTCCAATCATGTGACCCTCTCCCCTCCCATGTGACCCCTCCCTCCCCACCATGTGACCTATTCCAATCATGTGACCCTCTCCCCTCCCATGTGACCCCTCCCTCCCCACCATGTGACCTATTCCAATCATGTGACCCTCTCCCCTCCCATGTGACCCCTCCCAAGTGACCCATTCCCACTATGTGACCCCACCCTCCCATGTGACCCATTCCCACCATGTGACCCCATTGTGACCAATCCAATGCCTGACGGCTTTTTATGGACGCTGAAGAATCCCGCTGAGGGCGTTGTATTCTTTCTGGTCGCTCATCGTAGAACCGGAACCCGTCCTGTGCTTTTAAAGTGAACCAAACTCCCAGGCGCCCGATGAATCATTGACATTATCTCCCAGTCACGTGACATTTTGGGGCTCCTGTGATTGGAAGATCGCCGCGCCGCAGATAAAGATTTCAGTGAATATTTTACTTACATTTTTGTACTTTTTGTAACGCGCAGTCACGGTGCAGACACGAGATCCGTGTACATGATATGTGGGAGAATCGAGGGACGCCTGGAAATGAAAGGGGTCCATTTATAAACAATTTGCAGGGAGAAGATATGTGAACGTTCGATCGGTGCGGATATACGTCAAAACGAACGTTCTTTAGCTGCGTTTCGTACACGGGAATCACTTGGCCTTATAAAGAAACACCTAAAAAACGTTTGTTTTGGCATATATCCGCACAGAGCGAACGTTCACGCACACTGAGGGGCCCCGTGAACAGTTTATAAATGGACCCCAAAGTGTCTATTTTTTTTTATAGCTTTCAATAGAATATGCAAAGAGGTTAAAAAGCCTTTCAGGTTCAATGGCCTGTGCTTGTGTTTGACCTTTGAACCGCCTAAAATAACAAACAGCTGCCGACAGACTTCATATGTTACAGAATAACAGCAGGGAGGGGGGGCCCCGGGGGGCCCGAATCACATGATGATGTCATTGTTAAATTAAATCTTTCCATTTTCATTACAGACCTTGTTTTAGTCCCCGATGATGTCATCACTGGGTCCCCGTGCTTCTCTAGGTTGGGTGACCAAACTTTGGGGGCTGATCCATAAACCGTTCGCGTAGCAGACAGCCGTGTGAATGTGATTCATAGCAAGTCGTGGCCACTAGATGGAGCCATAGAGCACAGGAAATTCCTATAGCCCTCGGCGCCATCTAGTGGCCATGTTACGCTATTTGGGCGGTTTATGGATCACCCCCTTTGTGTGGCCCTTTAAAAACCCTTTTTTGTAGCCAAAGCAGTCCCCGTGTTCGGGTTTCGGCTGAAGGTTGTTACGGGCGACACCCCTGGCAGGTATGGGGGGGCTCACCTGAGGCATGGAGTTTAAGTGATGTTGGGTCTTCACCAGAGCACCCCGCAAAGGAGTGATGGGATGTTGGGCCTGGTGGCCCTGGGGCAACATTGCTGTAAGATGTGGAAACAGGTAAATGGTACTATAGCTGGTTGAGGTTGGGCAGGTGGCAGGCAAGGATAGGCAGAGGTCAGGGCCGGTGGCAGGCAAGGATAGGCAGAGGTCAGGGTAGGTGGCAGGCATGGATAGGCAGAGATCAGGGCAGGTGGCAGGCAAGGATAGGCAGAGGTCAGGGCAGGTGGCAGGCATGGATAGGCAGAGATCAGGGCAGGTGGCAGGCAAGGATAGGCAGAGAGCAGGGCAGGGGGCAGGCAAGGATATGCGGTTTATGGATCACCCCCTTTGTGTGGCCCTTTAAAAACCCTTTTTTGTAGCCAAAGCAGTCCCCGTGTTCGGGTTTCGGCTGAAGGTTGTTACGGGCGACACCCCTGGCAGGTATGGGGGGGCTCACCTGAGGCATGGAGTTTAAGTGATGTTGGGTCTTCACCAGAGCACCCCGCAAAGGAGTGATGGGATGTTGGGCCTGGTGGCCCTGGGGCAACATTGCTGTAAGATGTGGAAACAGGTAAATGGTACTATAGCTGGTTGAGGTTGGGCAGGTGGCAGGCAAGGATAGGCAGAGGTCAGGGCCGGTGGCAGGCAAGGATAGGCAGAGGTCAGGGTAGGTGGCAGGCATGGATAGGCAGAGATCAGGGCAGGTGGCAGGCAAGGATAGGCAGAGGTCAGGGCAGGTGGCAGGCATGGATAGGCAGAGATCAGGGCAGGTGGCAGGCAAGGATAGGCAGAGATCAGGGCAGGTGGCAGGCAAGGATAGGCAGAGGTCAGGCAAGGATAGGCAGAGGTCAGGGAAGGTGCCAGGCAAGGATAGGCAGAGATCAGGGCAGGTTGCAGGCAAGATTAGGCAGAGGTCAGGGCAGGTGACCGGCATGGATAGGCAGAGGTCAGGGCAGGTGGCAGGCAAGGATAGGCAGAGATCAGGGCCGGTGGCAGGCAAGGATAGGCAGAGATCAGGGCCGGTGGCACAAGGATAGG